GCCATATAATCACAGCGTCTTCCTTGATCAGCTATGTGTAAGAAAGGGAAATTGTCGAGGCTCAGTCAATATTGTAACAGCAGCTAATTCAAATTTCATTTTAATTTTATTTATTTATTATTTCGACGTTCCGACAAAAGGATTTGTTATGTTCAAGAAAAGTAAGGATTGAAAATTGTATTAAAAGATATTGTATGTATGAAGAGAATTAGAAATATTGCATTCCTTATAAATATCGCTTTAATTTCAAATTTATTCTAAGTTAGATGCACATTTAACAAAATATTTTTAAAAATATCCGAGCCGGTTATTTTTCAAGCAAAGAAAGTTTTGGAGCTAGCTTAACCCAACTAAAAAGTCTGTCCGTGACCCACGCCAAAAAATGTCCTACACAGGTGCAAGTAAGGCTTAGACCTCGGGGTTTCCACTACCAACCAGCAGAATTCATAGAGAGACCGAAAGTTAAAATGACATCGTCAAATTTTTCAAAAACATCTCGACCTAAAATTTGTTGTGAACTAGATGAACAGCTTGCAGCCTCAGTCGGCTCCGAGTGAACAGGCTTTTAGTTTCTTGATGAGGCTAATACATTAGAGGATTTATCGTGAATAGTGTGACAGCACTAGACAGTATACGAACCAAAAAAGGTGAAGAATACGGACTGGTACTTGAAACACAAAAGTCTCATCTACTATTTCTGACATTGTGTATGAAAAGAGTGACATTTTGCGTTATCTGCATTTGACGCCACTGTACGCAAGCGATTACTATCTATGAGAAGGAAGCAAGAGGAGTTCAATGAAACCAATCACGAACCAGTCTGGATAAGTTCCTAAATAAATAAATGAATGAATGAACAAACATAATGTAAAAATGAAATTGGGACAGTTCACAGACCAATAATGTTCAATAAAGGAAATATCTTGTTTTTTTCACAACTTTTGTTTTTAAGATGTGCAAAACTAAACTTTCTCTTTTCACACAAATAAGATTTCAATTAGAAGAAAAGCCTTATATCAAGTACAAAAATTGTTGCTCTTCAGAGCTTTACCGAGGTAAAGAAAGTAGCTTTGTCAACCTGAACATCAATTATTGTTCAAGACCATAGTTTCAGTTAGCGCATTTTTAGTAAATTATGTTCAATTGGAAGCTTATAACGGACGGTACAGAAATAATGATACATTTTTTTCGGGCATTTATCTAAGATTCTAAGACTCTATTCTAGACTCATTCGATAGAGAATTTTCTGTTCTACATAATCCATTACCTTCTTTCATTACATATTATTTTGTTATCTAAAAAAATAGTGTAGGATAAGGAGAGATAATAAGTACAATTGCGAGGAAAGAAACAGGTTGTGTTTGTTTTGTACTCCATGTAATTGATTATTAAATAATATTTCTGTTAGCTATTTTATACAGGTACATTGAGTAAACAAATCGTGTTTATTTAATTAATTATTATTGAAAAATAATATTTGTCCTAACATTCAGTCACTAACAATAGTTTGAATCATAGCCCTCAATCTGCTTGAGCTGAACATTTTTATAGCACCCTCTTTTCTCAGTTAGTATATTATTTCTCGAGAAATTATGCAAAAGCCGACAAGCTATCAACATATTGATTGGAAATCGCAGTTGTGCTTCTTACCTGTCCTTACCCTACACTATTCTTTTAGATAACGAAATAATATGTAATGAAAGAAGATGATGGATTTTGTAGAGCAGAAAATTCTCTGTCGAATGAGCCTTTAATTGGAGCCTTAAAATCTCAAATAAGTGCCCGAAAAAAAAGGGAACAAAAGTGTATCATTATTTCTGCGCCATCCGTTATGCGTCTGCTTTTTCTTTTAAATAGAGCCAAATAGTTACCAGTCAGGTTTGTGTTATAGTGAAGATATAGCTGCCTGTTTAGTAAACGGTATGACTTTGCTGTGTGTGGAAAGTTTTCAACCGATACATCTTTTTTTTTATAAACACAGTTACAATTATTATTTTTTATTATTTTAATAATGTGAAAAATGCTAGGTTTGAAATTCTGAAGTGCAAACCGACTAGGGAAAAGACGGATGCCACCAGAAGTGTCTTGACTAGCGGGAATCCCTCTCACAATAATTCAGCAGTTGTTGTTTATCCTCAAAAGAGAAAGTAAACGGCTTTCAGGTTACCTCTGACAAGGTTTTGGGATCCACTGACCCCTGTCCAAAAAATTTGAAGCTTGTGACATTTTAGACTATATCGTTCAGGTTTACTTCTCTATGTGGTCTCAAGCCAAAATTAAAGGTTTTCAATGCAGTTTGAAAACAGAGTCATCAACTTCAGTGATATTCGTTTACATTATCAACTCCCACAAAAACTTAGATTATTTTGGTTTTCATAGATGATCGTTTTGAAGACATCTTGCTGTACTAGACACTTATATTTGTGCTAGAGACAGCGATGACTCTGTTCACTTTTGTACTTTGGTTGGAAAAAGAATCACCGTTTTGATTAATGTATTCATCGAATAATTGAGAATTTATGTAATAAGTGTATATATGAAAGAGTAGAGAATAATATTCATCTGTTTTATGCAAGGAGTGATAACCTTGTTTAGCCATTTAGTATATCATTCGATGTTAAAAGGTTTATTTCATCAAATTGGAACTTATATTGAAGAAATGAGCAAATTTCTCGTTTTTTTTTGTTTTTTTATTAGTTCAATCACTCATATAAATGTTTCTTGCTGCTCCAATGTCAAGTTGCGTGTTATTGTCGGTGTCTTCTTATATTCATATCATTCTCATCAAATTGAGATGATCATTTATTTTTTTTCCTCATTTTACGAGACAGAAATTGATCTAGTCTAATTGTAACCAGACTTAATATTATTGTATAGTTTCTTATACATAAGATGAAAAAAAAAAGGAGAGAAAGAGATACTGTAATACTAAAACCTACATTTTGTGTTGTATGTGCTCTATTCTATCATCAATATATATATATATATATAACTTACATATACCCATTAAAAACCGTTATTTCTCATTTTCTTTTTGTCCATTGTTCTGTTATTGTATCGTGTTATGAAATCAAGCGAATAATCATCTCTCTAAGATCGGGGGCGAAATTGTTTCTATATTGTATATGTGCAAGAGCAAGAAGAAGAAACAACAGGAAAAAAATTCTTCATTGCATAATATATTATCATAGTAGTATGTATAAGAGGAAGAGAACATGTATACATGTGACACTTTTTTTTAATTGTTTGTTGTTGTTGTTGTTGTTTTTGTTGATGATGATTAAGAGTATTGCGTGCAGAACAATGAGTGGTTGTGTCGCTATGTAGTGTAGCGCTGCTAAACAGCGTTGGCATTGGAACGAAAAAAAGAAATAAGAAAAAAAAAAAAGATTATCTTTTTTCGTGATGACAGATCGTTCGAAATAAGCCATCATTTTTCCTTAGATTTTGATACTCGTTATACAACAATCTTTATGCTCTATAACTCTTTTTTTCTCTTCATAGAAAAGATCTTGAAACTGTAAGTATCGCATGTAATCAAGTTTTTTTTATCCACTAACATATGTTAAGAATGTTGTGAATCTATTTTCTGTATTTTTTTCAAACTTTGTCGTGAATTTCTATACTTTAATTAGATGGATTTTTTTTTGAGTTTACTAGAGATGCAGAATATATGTTTGTCTCTATAAATAAGGTGTTGGCAAGCTCTGTGTGACTTTAACTTGTAATTGTGTATTCATTCAATACCATACTCCTAAGCGAGCATCGAACACTCGATCAAAGACATTAAAACGACTACAGGTTACAAATATAAGAGCACACAGAGGTCTGTGACTTCTCAAAAAATGAGCTCAAATGAATGAATAAAAACCTCTATATTTCGGTATATTCAAAAAATAATTTATCTGTTCCTTCATTCGGATTAAGCACTTTTTCCTAAAGATCGAAAAACCCGAGTTTAGGCTCATAACATCCCTAGCATACTGTACGTAACTCTACGATTTCCATTAAATAGTAGAATTTTATAGTCGTTCTCTGTTGATTGTTTCCCTAGTAAATGTATTCAATAAGGTCACATTATTTCTAAAATGACATTCTCTTTCATCTTCTTGATGACCTCTTTGGCTTACTAATCGATCTGCATGCTGGTAGTCGGTCGTTTAAGCATATAGGATTGCACACGACAATCGAACGTTTCTGTATATTGGCAAATGCAGCGATTTTTTTCTCGTATGATGACAATAATTTATTCATACATATACCCTTTGATTGTCAAGCATTTGAATAATAATAAATAATTAGATCTATTCACCATTTTACATATAGTAAATAATGACTAAACGATCATAAACAGCAAATTCTCACTTTTTTTCGTCGATAAAAGGAAAGAATTCTTTTTTTTGTAAGTAATATTTGCTTATAAATATTTGATGATTACATATTTTCTTTTACATTGTTCAACATACTGCATAGATTGAAAAATGTTGCTCATACCAAATAGTTCTCTGTTTTTTTTTTGACGCAAAAACTAATTATCTAGTGAGAAATAAAATTTTATTATTTTCAATTAAAAAAACATTTTTTCAAATGGAATTGATTTTTCTTCATTATTCTTGAATTTTACTTTCAAATTAAAAGAGAAACCATTTACAATTATTAGTGAAAACAAACATTTTGAGGACAATTCTGTATCGTTACTAGATTCATCTCATTTTTTAAATGGAAGAGAAAATATTTTTAAGGATGAGGGGTATAATTTGTTTTTCATTTGGTTCTCTTATCCTTTAGATCAGCACTAAACTCAATTATTTGGTGGGAAAAAAAAATGTAGACCATCAATGTGATGGTCTGTTGATATTGAAAGTCGTTGTGACTATTATACTCGAATACCTTGTGTTGTAGTTAATTTTACTTTATTTTAATGATATATACATAGATGTATATGAATTTTTTCATTTTAACAATATATTTTATTTAAATGGAAATAATTATTTAATACAATGTCTTCGTCTGGAACAGTATCTACTTTTCAATGTCGTGTACAATATCTCGATGATACGGATCCATTTTCAAGTGTTAACTTACCAGAACCAGCTCGTCCTCCTCTATTTACGTATTTAGTTGATGTTCCACTTATCAATCAACTTAGTAGTGTACATAAAGTTTTAAATGCTCCACACAAGGTAATATATGATATCTACTTTGCTTTGTTCTCAGATAATTTAGCTCAACTGTATATAATTTGCTCTAGAAATAGAAAAGATTCGAATTCTATATTTTGATCGAATCTGAGAGAATCACATAATAATTTCATTAAAGAATATTTTTATAATATACTCATAACTATTCAATTTTCTTATTAACTCTTTTCTTTTCTAGCTTGCCGATTGTGCACTTCAATTGTATCGACAAGATGGTAGTAGATCTGAATTTGGACCCTATCTTGATTTAGATCAAACATTAGAAGAACAAAAGGAAGAATTAGAAGGTTATACTGACGGGTTAGTCTAGGTTGTATGCTCGATTTTTGGTATAAATTATTATTAACAAAAGCGAAATCCTAGAATTTTTTATGGTTATGATATTGTCAAGAACATATTGTCTGATGGTACAACTCATGGGAGAGTTGATGTTAACATCATCCTCTTTTTATTGTTAAGTAGAAGAGGAAGAAAAAAACAAATTCCTTTGAGACATCAAGCAAATAAACATAACTCATAGAAAATAGTATTTTTCTATTTCAGCTTATGTACAGAGATTTATGTAGCGGTAAAATCAATGGTTGACGTCACGTGTATTTACGTCACATTAGAGTTATTTGTAATTATAGATTTCTGACTTATATATTTATACAAGAAAAATATAACCTGTTTCAGTTGTTTCGGACTAGGTATTAGGTTTAGTTCAAAAAAATCAAAAGTAAAGCGATTATTTTCTCAACTTTGGCTTCATTCGTTAATGGAAAAGAATAAATTGCGCATATCACAAAAAAAAAGAGGCCTTCAGTTCTACTCGTTCAACTTTCGACAGAAATGTAGAGGTTACTAATTTAATCAAGATAAAATAATTAACTATTCAACAACTGATTATATCGGTCGAAATAAAGCAGTAATTGCACGTGAGGCAAAGGTCTCTTTCATATAATCTTCTGTCATTTTCACTTATCGTCGGGTATTTTGTCTTCGATACTGAATTGTAACTAAAGATATCTCAATTTTTCAAAGAGAAAGATGCTCTTATTTATGCGAGAAACTTCTGACATTTTGCTACATTTTGTTATGCATCCATTATTCACTTCAAAGTGCTCATTATGAAGTATAAAAGGAGAGAAAGAACTTCATTATAGTTTATTTTTTCGATTGTGTATCTTTACGAATAGTGATTTTTTTATTTATTCACACAATTGATTGAGTTAATCATAATGATCATAACACATAATTCGACTCAGAGAACGTTGTATGAATTTATGATGTTCATTACAGTCGTACATATTTTTTACTAGTAAATACGTAATCATATATGATTAGTTCTTGCACTTTCATTACTTTTTGCTATCATTTAGAATAATATATGATAGATAGATAAAAGAAACACGAGTTTATTGTCTTATTATCATCATATTTCTAAGTGATATGTGTTGCTGTTCTGTATGTAACGATAACGACAAAGACATTATGAATTTTATCATATTTGACATCATTTAGTTGATTTTTTTAGCAAAAACATCACGAATTGTTGCATGTTATAATTATACTTAAATATCGAAGTAAAATTTTTAACATTTAACTTGACATTGATCTGTTTAGGTGTAATAGGATAACTACTGTTGATCGTCATAATTATGCACTCTGAAATTTGATGTATTAAAACAAATTTAAGTGTGGCTTCTGTAGACAGAACAAGAGCAAACTTTTTTTGTCATCGCTTGTCAATCACAAAATTGGTTGTGTCCACGTAAAACATACCATCATTACATTGACTGTTACCGCTAAATTGTATAGAAGTTATAAGTATTAGAGATAATGAATTTTGTAACTTAACTAAATTTTGTTTTACAACTGCTTATTTCACTACAGAAAAGCTGAGGCCTTGGAAAGAGGCCTAGTAAGAGGATGGATGATCGTTTCTGAAGATCGAATCACTGAATTATTTTGGCGACGTCTGACGTATGTATTTTCAACAGAGGTTAAGAGGAAAGTTACAGAAAGGCAGTGCTCGATGACTGCGCGTAGTAAAGGCCAGCTCAAGTTTCCAAGGCTTGACCTTTTCTGTCGTAAAATAAGCAAACAAAAAACTCAAGATTTGTAAAACAAAACTCGCTAATTTGCAATAGTGAAAAAAAGTTACTAAAGTTTCTAGCTACACAATGAAGAACGAGAGTAACCGATAAAACAGAAAGATTCTCATAATAGAAAACTAAATACCATACCGATCGAAAACAATTTCCATCAATTTTTGATGAAAAATGCTCTTGAGAATACCTGAGAAAACAGCGGACCACTCGAAAACTTTTTCTTAAAATTCACCAGTCAAACAAACTTTGTATTCTCATAGCTTGTAGATTTTGAATTGTTCTATTAAATGAAAAACAGCTTTTCAGTTCTGCGCGGAAGAAAACTCCTTGGAAGTTAGACAAAAATAGGTACAAAATGATGAGAGCAGCGCTATTTTTTGCTGAAAAAGAAGAATGTAGATTTCTTTGCACTTGCATCAGCGAGTTGTACTAAAATTCATTATCTCTCTTATAACTTCTGTACAGTGTAGCGGTAATAGTCAATGTAATGATGGTATATTTCACGTAGACACACAACTATTGTCTGGTGCGCTTATTGAGCTTATGATTAAAGTCTTTTAAGTTTTTATTAATTTCACAACTTAATATTCATGGTATATATTTCTGTAATGCTTGTATTAAATATATAGTTTATTTTTACGCTTATGAAAGTCACAAGATATAATCTACTGATCTTTTCACTTCTCTATCATTCGATACACTCATTTTATTAATTGTTTACATTTATTCTTCTATGTTTTAGCCGAAAATGGTCGATAGTACTTCGTACACAACTGACAGTTCGTGTAAATGCGTGTATAGGTAAATACTGATACAATTATGAACTATCTCACATTCATAATTTGGCAATCATTTTTAGACAAATTATTGAATTCCGACGGTCGAGAATTAAGACGTTCATTATTTTCACTAAAACAGATATTCCAAGTAAGAGATTATAGATAGTTGTCTTAATGTATTAATTATTCCTATTGCTATTGCTTAGGATGACAAAGATCTTGTACATGAATTTGTAAATAATCAAGGCTTACAATGTTTGGTGAAAATTGGTGGTGAAGCAGATCAAAATTATCAAAATTATATATTGAGAGGTAACTATTCACTCATCTGTTTTATATATTAATATAATTATAAATAATTTTAGCATTTGGTCAACTGATGTTATATGTCGATGGTATGAATGCTGTAATGTCACAAAATGAAGTTGTCCAATGGCTTTATTCCCTGGTCGAATCGAGTGTAACACACGAATGTTATTTAGTCTTTAAAAATTGAATCTAACTCTTTGTTTTGGATTTAGTTTCGTCTTGTTGTTAAAACAAGTTTAAAATTATTGATCGTATTTGCAGAATATACCGAAACAAATTCATTATTGATATTACAAGCTGTTAATTATGTTGATAAATCAAATCGCCGATTAATGTGGTCAAATGCAATGAAAATTTTAAATGAATACGATAATACACCATCTGAAGTGGTTTTATTAATTATAACATTATTTAATGCCGTACGTATTTTATTTTACACATTTAATAAAGAAATAATTGATTGATTAAAATAATTATTTTCATCTAGGTTTTATCTAACGTACCTGATCAAGATACGTTTTATGATATGACCGATGCTTTTGAACAGCAAGGAATGCAAAAAGTTTCACAATATTATTTAAATAAAAAACCAGCAGAAACAGAAGTAGTTGAACAATTCAATATTTACGAAGTATGATATTGTCTAATTTAATTTTATCTGTCAAAAAAAAAGTGTTTTTTGGTTCATATTTCAAAGGCACATAATATTCTGTTTTCTTCTTTCAGGCAACATTAAAACATGAAGATGGAGATGATGAATCGGCAATTGCCCAAATGATGAGGTAGATATTTGTTATTATTTTCGATGAAAGTGCTAGTATTTACTAAAAGTCACACCATGCTTTGGGAGAATTATTTGAAATTTCTTAACGTGAATGAGACACTATGGGAAAGTTGATCATATCAATTGATTTTCTAATAATTCTTATCGTTTAAAAACATTGTGATTTTCATTTGTTTATCAGTGGTAGTAAAAAAGGCATGAACAGAGGAGTAACATCATCTGGATCACTATCAAATATCTATGATTCTACTGCGTTAAGGTAAAAAATATTAAGCTATAGTAGATCTGAAATTCTTAGAAACTGTTATTTTGTCACTCAGTAGTGCCCCATAGAAGACACTTTAGTAACGACAAAAAGAGAGACAAAACAGAATGGCATGACGAGTAATTACCTGCTTTGACTAGAATAACATTTATATAATTATATCAAGTTAATTTTTGATATTCCTTGCTTAATTCTTCTCGCTTTGATCCAATATTAGGTGAAGACACCGGTGCATGGCTTACAGCAAAATGTTAACCGAAGTTTGTGCGCTTATTTGATATTAAAACTAAATAATCGTTCTGTTTGTGGCAATCTCACCCCACTATTTATTAGGAATTATTTCTTTAATAAGTTTTCTTCTGACAAAATCAAGTAGAGCAAGTTAAACGTTTATGTACTCAAAAATATTTATTATTTACCAATACAGTTCTTAAGAATAAAAAACTAATGAGGCTTTCCTGCTCGAATAAATTTTAAATATTGTTTAACCCTTTGCATTTTTTTTTCTGTGTACGTGTGTATGTGTGTGTTGCTTTTTGTTTTGCATTTATTTTTTGTTCTAAATCTCATAGACGTGCACCGAGAAAGAAGAGTACATTTGAACGAGCAAATCGAAGAAACTCATCAGCTGACAATGAATCAGCACCATTAACATTCCAATTTCCACAACATGACCATTACCAGAATGACCATTCCTCACGATTGAATCGAATGTTCAATAATAATAATAGTTCATTGCTGATATTACCTACACCGTCGATATCGGACGATGATAGTTATCATTATCAAAAATATCAGCAACATTCGACTTTAATCGATTCCATACTAATAGATTCAGGCCAACAAGACAATGAAGATGCTATTGAAGAAGATCACACAGAATCATTGGATGAAGATCCTAATTCTAGTTTGATTGAGTATGAATACCCGCTTTGTCTTTATTTTATTTTTGTATGGCAGCCAAGCCGCATGTGTGTTGCATTAAACCTGTCTCTCTTACTGTCTATAGTTGATATTTAATACTTGAATTCAATATAGCTTGCACTTTCTATTATGCTAGTTCTAAAAATTTTAGAAGGAAAACAAGAGTGAAAAGTGCAGTATCTGATCGTCATAGCATGCGACGGAGTAGTTCTCATAACATTCCGACGAGCGATGGAGTATTAAAACAGAATAATTTACTTATAAACGATGCAACAATTAACAATAATAAGAGCAAGGAACAAGAAGTGTAAGTAATTTTTTATTCAAGTGACCAGGCTATGTTTCCTGCTTATCGATTTTTTAGACCGAAATCATCTGGCTCGGCTATTCGTCGTATGCAAAATCGTTGGGAAGCTGAAACCCAAGAACGTGAAGCTGCTGCAGCTAAGGCACAAGTACCAAAATCTCAGCCGTCAAGCACAGCCGGACGTCAGAGAGATCGATGGGCAACGTCAGAAACAGGAGCTGAACAACAGCCACAAATAAACAATCATCACGTTCTTCAGAAACTACCTGATTTAGATAGTGTAAATAAACGTCTCAATTGTAAGAGATTTGAAATTTGATATCCACTGTAGCACTGGTATTCAATCGTTCACTATGCTTTATTCTAGCTGCCAACAAATCAACATCGGTCGAAAGTCATGCAGTTCCTTCAAATACATCTAGTCGTTTTTCTCGTCCATCAGCCACAGTCGACACCGTGGATGCTCCGACATCGCCTGTGTCCACAACAGTTCTGTCACCATCAGGTCATCGAGGATCCGATACAAGGTTCTTTCCTCCGCAACATATGACAACTATCTCACCACCACCAACAACAAATTCTCGACCCATGTTGGCAACACATAAAAATGGTGCCGCTGTGGAAACGTTAATTCGGCAGGCTGGTGCTCCAAATATGTCCGATTCAACGAACAGTAACAATATACTGGTGAAAGAACCAAAAGTTATTTCATCATCAGACTGTGTCGGTGCTATAACAAGAGCAAAAGAAAGTAGGTGACTTAATTTTCAATGTATTCATTTACGATTTATAATTTGTTTTATTGAAGGTCTACAAGCAGCCAGTATAAAACAACCAACTACAGCGTCCGCCGGTATCGGTTTATCAGCACAATTACCAAGTGAACTAGCCAATAAACCACGTTCGGAAAACGATTTGCAGTGGGAATATATTGTTGGAAAAGTGTTGAATAGGAAATTGGTTGTACAAGATCTTAATTTTGAAGAATTGGATGATAAGGATGATGTTAACTGTATGACGATTGGAGGAAAACTTACGGGACCTCCAATGCCACCACCAATGATGGGCGGAATGTCGAATGGTTTGCCACCACCACCTCCACCAATGATGGGCGGTCCACCACCACCTCCACCAATGATGGGCGGTCCACCGCCTCCTCCACCGATGATGGGTGGTCTACCACCTTCTGTTTTATCGGGAATTAAATCACCTCCAGTTGCTAATGGCATCCCACCTCCCGCACCGTCTTTACAACAACAAGCGAAATCTATGAAAACAGTCCGTTTACATTGGAAAGATGCAGCAAATCCGTCGAACAATATGATGCCATCATCTCCATCGGATTCGATATGGTCATCATTACAAAAAGTAAAATTAGACACGGAAAAAATAGCACAGTTATTTGAATTGAAACAAGCCGAAGTTAAATTAAAGGTAAAAATATTAGCTCGTAGCTTTACTAAACATAAAGGTGCATAATCCCATAGTACCGTATAATCGTTAATCTTTTTATTTCAAATTGATTTTCCTTTTGTTTTTACTTATATAGGAAACTGTAAGTAAATCAATATATTATTTTCGTTTTTTCTCAACAGAGCTTCCATCTTAATTGACACTAAAGCTATATATTGACAACAAATTCAAATGATTATAAGATTCAATATGCTATCTGTTAATTAATGTGTGTCTGTGTGTTTGTCAAAAATAGTTCTCTGTGTTCGTCTAACAGTGTGTGCGGCAGTTTGATAATTTTTCTATTTCTTCTCAAATAACCTCAGTCACCTTCTTTTATCAAAAATAGGATTAATTAGAAAACAAGATTAAAAATATTGTTTGTAATTGTAATGTTTTATAATAACAATGATTTTTATTTTTCCTTGTGTCAATGCTACAAGCTTAGGTAGTCATTAAAACTGAGTAAGAATGAACTTTTTCTTACGTTTACGGGAATCTGACTTGTGAATGAATAGAATATTGGAAATCAAATATATATTTTATTTTTTTATCTGAGTAAGATTCTCTATGTTGTCAATGTCTTTTTGTTTTCTTTCTCTGTTGTTATCGCACATTGGGATACACATCTACACATCTCATAATAAAAGGTCGCATTGCATGTGACTCTATGTAGATCTGAATTATGTTACGTTTTGGGTCTCTCTCTATACCACAATTCACATCAAAAGATTTCTTGCTTTCTTTCATATCTTTGTACTAACACGCATAAACTCTTTCTCTCTGGGGGAAAAAGAGAAGAACAAACAATTTTAGCCTCTGAATGGTCAATATAGATTACTTTGCTAAATACAATTTATATTATTTTTGCAATAAAAAAAAACAGATTAAGCTTGAAGCTAAGCTATAAGATCCAATACAAACATATTTTTATGTATTGTTTGTTTCTCTATGTTGAAGAAAGGTGGTGATGCTAAAAAAGAAATAACTGTACTCGATACAAAACGATCAAATGCTATTAATATTGGTTTAACAGTACTACCACCAGCGAGAACAATCAAAGCAGCTATCTTAAAAATGGATAATAGTGTTATTAATAAAGAAGGAATTGAAGTGAGTTATTATTGTGTAAAAAACCAAATCTATGAATGTTACGTATTTATTTTTAGAAATTATTAACAATGTTACCAACTGAAGAAGAAAAAACCCGTATTATGGAAGCACAAGTGGCCAGCGCCGAAATCCCATTAGGTAATGCTGAACAGTTTCTATTAACATTAGCATCGGTAGCTGAACTAGAAGCAAGATTAAAACTATGGTTATTCAAACTTGACTTTGACAATGTTGAATTGGTATGTGAAATAAATTTATAAATAATAAATCTTGTTTTTATAATGTTTTATGTGTTTTAAGGAAATTGCTGAACCCTTAATGGATTTAAAAAATGGTATGAAAAATCTAAAAGATAATGGAACATTTCGAAGAATATTAGAAGTACTGCTCGCCATTGGAAATTATTTGAATGGTGTTGAGGTATACATTATTTTCACAATTTCTTTTTTTTTTGTTTATATGCAATTTTAACTATTTATAAACATTTTATTTTCATTCTAGTCTCCTGGTTTTCAACTCGATTATTTAGCAAAAGTTCCTGAAGTAAAAGATACAGTCAATAAACATTCGTTATTATATCATGTATGCAATGTTGTTGTGGAGAAATATCCTGAAACAACAGATTTATATTCTGAAATTGGAGAATTAACACGATGTTCAAAGGTGAATACGATGAAATTTACATATAATTTAAATAATTTTAAAGTTTTATTTAATTTAAGGTCGATTTTGATGAATTAGAACTAAAATTGAATAAAGTTGAAAATGATTGTCGAGCATCCTTTGATTGTTTAAGAGCAATAAGCAAACATGAAACACCACAAATAAAAACCAAGTATGTTTATGTCATATGTCTAATTAATATTAAATTATAAAGATAAATTTATTATATTTCTCATCAATATTTATATAATTGTATTTCCTCGAAATCTAAAGATTCATATTGAGAACCGGTGAGATTTGAATTAGATAAATAAAATCATGATTTTTTACAATGGATCTACTATCTTTTTTCCTCAGTTTTCTTGTTGTTCTTATTTTTCTCAAATTGCTCAATTCTTGCAGAATTGATGTCAAACCGTATGGTATATTCCATTGTATATCGTAAGTATATTATCGTCGTTTACTTCATTACCTCTATCAAATGATAAATTATTATTATTAAAAAAAAAATTGCTTCATTTTTTCATTCATTTGACAGAAATAGATAGATCGACACACGCTCACATTATTATTCTTAAATTAGATATGAAATTGTGCTTTGCTTATTTGCTTTATCTAATTCATGTTTCTCTCTATATGGGCAATAATATTAGAGCAGCAATCTTCTAATTTTGTACGATAAATTTACTCATATTTTTGTCTTTGTCTTGTTTAGATTATCCGAATTTTTAAGCGATTGTGCTGAACGTGTTTGTCTATTACGTTTGATTCATCGTCGTGTTATTAATCGTTTTCAAAAATTTTTATTATGGCTTGGATATCCACGAAGTATTATTCAAGAAACAAAAATTACACAATTTTGTAAAATATTAAGTGAATTTGCTTTGGAATATCGAACAACACGTGATAGAATTACGTTACAGAAACAAAAAAAACAAAATCGTGGTGAAAGAAATAGAACAAGGGGAAAATTAATTACAGAAGTAAATTTTCAATGCTTTTTCTGTATTGTAATGAATTCCTAAATTTTTGTTTTTTCTGTATAGGTATTTCCTGAAAAAAGTAATATGCTTCGTCATCAAATTGACACACGAACAGATGACGAATTAGAATATAGTCATGGAATGAAGGATATAAAAATAAACCATAATCTGAAGCCGATAACATCAAAAGACAGTGGAAATGCTAATAATAACAGTAATAAACTAACCGTCGGTGGTCTAAAACAACAAGCAGCACCATCGGGTTTAGCGGCAGCATTTAGTACATCAAAAAGTGAACAAATGATGCCCGGACATCGTGTTCGAGAAAAAGCGGGACGTAAGTAGTTGGCATGTCTTGTGTTGATGTATCTATTTTTACCAGTGCTTAACTATTTTAGTTACTAATGTGAGAAAACCAACAGTTCAGTCATCGACCAAACAAGCAGCAGCAAATGAAACAGAAGGTTTTGATACAGGAGACGAATTACTTGATGATTTGGTTAAAAATGCCACGTTAACTGCATCAAAAGATGCCTTAAAACAAAGAAAAACGGCTCGTTATGGACAGAGAAAATCTCGTAAGTTCTCAAGTATAGAGACAATCATGAAATGGAAAGAACTTGAATTTACTAGTTCGTAAATAATTTTATGGTACTTAACTTCTTTTCTTTTTGTTATTTAAGTTCGTCGAACAATGCACATTGGATTAAACGATGAAGAACGTCAAGATATACTAAACAAAAACAAATAATTGAATAAATTGTCTTTTATTTATTTGTTGCTCATCAATTTTTGTGTAATGAATGTAAAATCGAATACAAAATGCCCATTTAACCGGTGTCTACTTTTTTTCTGTTTATTTCTATACGTATATGTATGTGTGTACGTATTTCTAATGTGAATGATATTTTCTTTTTTTAACAATAAGGCATTTTAGAATGTACATAGATATCCTTTTCTTCTTCTTAGTAGTGCATGTTCAAAATAATTTGAAAGTACATTTGTGAGAACACTTTTTTTTACACTCTTTCTGATTTTTTTTTCATCAACACAGTGACCATTTTATTTCTTCAAATGATATACTGCTTTTGAGTTGTTTTATTGTTATTTTAATAATTTCTATGCAAAAAACGTTTGTCTTTCAAAGAGATTATCCAATCAGAAAGATTTTTCTTTGTCAAGACTCTTTATAGGATACTTCAAATTAGTTAGACTTTTTTTAAATATTCAAATGTTTTGTTTTTGCTAAGAATCTTTTTTTTTCTTTTAAGTCCGTGTTGACAAATGCTTATTTGTGTTTTTTTTTGCTTGTTTTTATTCAATAAGATTGTACAATATGAATTTTTTAATAAGTCATAATCACTTGATTGAATGTTGATTGAAGTAAACTAGCGTATAAAAATAGAATACAAATTCAACATTAGTATCCAATCAAATGTTAAAATTACAAATTCGAATAATTTAAAACATCAATAATAACATCTCTTTTCTGTTTATTACAGTTGAAATGCGAAAAATTGTGTTTATCATAGCATCCTACTGCTCTATTACGAACTATTACATCGATACAAAACCATATGAATTAAGATTTTGTGTTGAAATAAGGTTGTACTTCTGAATAGTCGACTTGCTTTTAATCTTATTATGACAGAAGATTGTTACCTTGAGAACGTAGTCTGATCCATACTATACGATAGAGCGCTGCACGAGCATAGATTTTTAGGTCATCCATGAGCCTGCATCGTCAAATCTGTTATAGCAGATACTCGTCGCTCCATGTCAGGGACATTTTTTTTGCCCGAGGGTATCAACCCGGCCAAGATATTCTCGCGGATACTCGTGAGAAGTTTTTCTGCATAGTATGTTACGTGAACATTTGCTGCCTTTTCATTTCTGATGTAAATTCATAAAGGAAAGACATTGATTTACTTCAAAAGTAAATAAAGAAAAACAAAAAAAAACATCATAGTCTTAACTTTTGTGCAGAACGAACAACTGAATAGAATAGTCTCTATGAAACTTTGCATATAGTGCTACTGATCGCTAGGAAGAAAAAGTGTTTCAACCTGTCCGTCTCATTCGGGCCACGCCTGCGAGTATACGTGTCGTGCGGACCTCACCCGCGGGTACTCATCTTCTCCGTCAGAAGTAAGAAAAAAGACATATCGGCGGATAGGTTTCGTTCACCATCCGTTCAGCTCTGATATGATACATGTTAGAAGAGTGGAAATTGAAAAACTAAAAGAAACAAACAAATTTTCTTGTAATCATATGTTAAAACTATCATTTATTGTAGAATGTCTGAATTATCATCTACCTGTTCTTTTATTAGGACCAGAGTTGTTACTAATAAGGAGGTAACAGATGATTCATCATCGTTGAATATTTTATTTGTTCAATGATTTTAAAAATATTCATGAAAAATCAGTGACTGAGTTGTCAACAACAGTAGACACCAGATATGAGAGTGTAATGAAAACTACAAAAAAAATGAAAGACCTTGCTCGAACCACCTCTTCCACCGTCGTCTGATCCGCTTTATAGCTTTTGAAGCTTTATGTTTCAACGATGAAAATGTTTTGGATGAATTGAATAATATACAAAATAAATTTTCATCATTTCCCTTTGGTTTTGGTGAATCTTCTTGTGAAACTGAAGTTGGGAAAAATAATCAAGATGAAAACATGTTCAATGTATTTATGCAACTCGGTCATTATGCTGATTTATTGTGAAAAAATAAACGATGAAGATATTGAAAAAGCATTGGATAAATTAGCGTTGGTGGATAATCAACATCAACAAACGAGGTCACAAACACAATCCATAACGATGAATGAAAATAATCAACATTTTTGAACATTTAAATAGTTTTATGACAAGTGTTTTATTAAAAGACGTAATGTTACCGGCGTGTCAAACCGTTGCTGAATCCTATAATGATTGGTTAAGTAAAACTAGACCATCGTCGAAACAATCGGATTATGAATGTTATCAAAAAACAAGATGATATCGTTAAAGAAATATGTCAAGAATACGAATCTTCTGCTGTTAATAGTCAGAATAATAAAATACAATTACAACAAATATTGCATAAATTTCAACAATTACAAACGTATGGTGATCCTTCAAAATAATTCATATTTTTTCCAAATTTTTTGATCGGAACTAGCAGTGGTGATAGTAATACAATGTTTACAGATATGTTTGCTGACGCGGAGAAAATTGGACAAAATGATGCAGATTGTTGTATCGTGTAACATGATTTTATTATACTTATTTCTAGCAATTATTCAGAAAGGTGTAATATAGTCTTAACGCTCTCTCTGCCTGGTTTTTGCTACTATTTTTTGGTTGACGACTACTATGCTATGCTGAGCAGTCATGGACTTACATTTGTGATTTCTAGCATAACAGTAAAGGATAATGCAATATATTTTTGTCAAAATTCTATGACGACTAAAAATCTGAAAAAATAACGGCGTTGTGAAAAACCGATTAATAACCACTACATCATTTCTCATATCTCAGAGATATCGTAGCTCATATTTTTCTCATTACAACAAGAAAACTTTCATTTTCGTTTTTAGATAAACAGATATTTATGGTTGAATCTAAAAATGAATATTGTACGACAGCATCTTTTTAATTATGTTTATCTTGCTGAAAGGGTTAGTTATTTTTTTATTGGTGTTATCCTAGTTAATTTTCTTGTTTTTAACTAGTCGATCAAAAGAAGTGCATCACAAGCATTAGTTACCGATTTGAAAAATATTGCTGGTAATGATAATGTATCTAATACACAAGCTGTTAGAGAACAACATGGACGAGATGAATCTTACCATAAGTATGTTTGATATGTATTTTATTTTCATCATAATATTAAATCTATTTTTTAAGACCATACCCACCAGATGTAGTGGTATTTGCAACGAGTACAAATGTAGTTAGCAATGTAGTTAAGTATTGTTCCTCAAAACAAATTCCAGTGATGCCGTTTGGAACAGGAACAGGATTAGAAGGTGGCGTTACAGCTATCAATGTAAGTTGATACCAATTATCTAGTTTTATTTCATTGTATCTGTATTTGAAGGGTGGTGTGTGCCTTAATTTGATGAAAATGGATAAAATTATTGAAGTAAATACCGAAGATTTTGATTGTACCGTGCAAGCCGGTGTTACACGAAATTCATTAAATTCTTTTCTGCGTGATACGGGATTGTGGTTTCCGATTGACCCGGTGAGTATAAAAATTCATTTGATAGTGTTATGATATAACTTTTTTTCCCTATATCAATAAATCTGCTTTCCAATTGTGTTTCATTGTCATTAACACAAATAAAAGCAAATTTAACATATTTCTTCTCTTCTTTCAGGGTGCCAATGCATCATTGGGAGGTTAGTCTGAAATTGATATTATTAAACTTTGTATCATTACTTTGTTGTCAAATAGGTATGTGTTCAACAAGTGCTTCAGGAACTCAAGCCGTCCGGTATGAAACATATGCGATCTAAATTCATGTGGTGGATAAAAGAAATAATTTAGATACGGAACAATGAGAGAAAATGTCATAAATATGGAAGTAGTAATGGCCGATGGTAATATTATCAAAACAGCCGGACTCAAAGGTCGTAGTAGGTAAAATTTTAGGTAGACATCAATCAACATATGTCATTATTGTTCATTTAATGCTTTTTTTTAGAAAGACATCCGCCGGTTATAATTTGACCAATTTATTTGTGGGCAACGAAGGTACTTTGGGTATTATTACCGAAACGACTCTTAGACTCCATGCTGTACCAGAGGCGGTATGTGAAATTTTTTTCAAAGATGAGTCTAATATCAATGTTCAATTTTATGTTTTAGATTTTGGCTGCTGTTTCTCCGTTTAAAGATTTTCGCTCGGCTGTTGATGCTACTGTAGACGTAATGCAAAGTGGATTGCCAGTGGCTCGAATTGAATTTTTAGACGAAACGATGATTGATGCATGTAACAAATTTAGTAAACTAAATTTAGATGTGGCTGCAACATTATTTTTAGAATTTCATGGAACTAAGGATAATATTGATGCTCAAGGAATAGCTGCGGGTCAGTAATAAGTGCACATATATAAAGAAGACAACATATTTGTATTTCTTATTCGTAGAGGAAATATGTAAATCATTTGGTTGTTTAAAATTTGCATTTTCAAGTGAATTAGAAAAAAGAAACGAATTATGGAAAGCCAGACACAACGCTGCGTATGCGGCTCAGGCGATGAAAGCAGACTCGAAAATGTACAGTACAGATGTTTGTGTACCAATTAGTCAATTGCCAGAAATGATTGTTTACGCCAAAAAAGAGTTGGAACGATTGAAACTATTAGGTATTAAACTGATTTCTAATCGTGATGTTCAAATAAAGGAAAATTTATATTTTCTTCTTTTAGGACCAATTGTTGGACATGTTGGTGATGGAAATTTTCATGTTATTCTTGTTTTTGATCCGAAGAGTAATGAAGTAACTGAACGAGTTCATGAATTTTCCAAGAATCTAGCAAAGTATTATAAATTTGATATCTTGATATCTAATTGTCATATGTAGATAAGTTATTTTTTAATAGAGAATCTCTTCGTGTTCACGGCACCATAACAGGTAAGATAGCATGAATAATTAGAGTGTGATAGCTGTCGTAAACTGTTGTGGATATTTTTCACAGGCGAACACGGTATTGGTTTAGGAAAGAAAAAATTGCTTATAGATGAATTCGGACCACATGGTATTAATACTATGAAAGCAATTAAAAAGGCATTAGATCCGTTAAATATATTAAATCCGGGAAAAGTTATTTAAATTTCATTTTAAAACATTTTTTCAAGATATCGACGGTAATTTCTGATAAAAATTTTATTTCATAAAATGCACTTTTTTTTTTGGTTTGTTCATAAAATTTTCTAATGATATTGATATGCTCAATTTTATACAAATGTGTTTAAAAGAGCTTTAACTTTTGAAGTATGTGATTCCGACATAATCTAATTTAGCTTGAATCAAATTCACGCTTATCGTTAACTTTTTTATTTTATTTGTTATTCTATTTTAATATGAAAATATTCTATTTTTTTCTCTTGTCGCATCATCTCTAAAATTTCTTAATCGTACACTATAATATTTACTATTTAATTTTTACTAATTAAGATTTGTTCTAAAAAATGTTAGTATACGCTAGTGAACAGTAATTTTCTAATATATCATAGTTAGTTTTACTATCGAAAATAAATAGTAATATATAGACGTACATGTACTCTCTTTGGTGCAATTTAAAATAAAGTTAACAAACTTGTTTAACTCATCAAAAAGTGGTTACAAAAAATGATTTCCCAGAAAACTCTTTTGGCTCTAAAAAATGTTCTAAGCATCGCAACTTCGAAAAAAATAAGTCATTTAGTAAGAATCGATTCTCTACCAGTTAACACAGTTTTGAATTCTTTTCAAGAAAATGTCTAGGTGAGAAAATTGAAATTACAAAATTTTAAATTTAAATTTTTATAAATTTTAAAGTTGACTTTTGTGATCAGCGTGAAAACCTGCATCTAATGACGTGCCTCTCGATTTATTTAGATAGAAAACTTTTTTGAACCTTCTGATTTGAGAAGGATCGTTAGCTGGCTACGTCGAACAGATGATCTCACATCGACTATTTAGAAAAAAAATGTGTGAATGCTTATCTTTGTTCTGATCTGTAGATTCGCCAATGTCAAAACATAATCGCATTATGGAAGAAGAGAATAGAAAAGAAGATATAAGACGTACCACAACTTTGAGTAACCATCCGTCTCGGAGAAAAAGGTCATAGGGCCAAAAATAAGTGAGAAGTCTTGCGGGATCAGTCCGGTTTCATCAAAGCTATAAGTGTCATCTTTAAAAGTATGATTCACAAAAAAATTTTAGCTTTTGAAATTGATGAGTTTATAAGGGTTTTTTCGGATCCCGCTAAAGATCTCGTACTCATCTCTAATTGAAAGAGAACCGATGTTGTCTTATAACTAAAGAAAACAAGTGTGTTGCTACCACTTTTGGTTTTTTAATGCTTTATTCTATTTCTAGACGATATATCCGATAATTGTCTCATACGATCCACTATATAATACGACAATATTGCAAAATATTGACATGGCAACCGTGTATAGTAAGTAGATAGTGTTCTCATATATGTACAGTTTGAAAAGAGATACTTACTCACTAGTTTGACGTACATCAAGGCTGGTAATTCATTCGAATGATGATAAAAACAGACGAACTTCTAATATCGCTTTCTGCGTTATGGCAGAATCAGGCTTTGTTAGATAATTAGAAGATTGTGAGGTTTTGCAAACGTTAAACTAACTATTAAACTAACAAACTATTAAATTGTATATAGTTAACTTGTAAGCTGACGACAATTGAAAAATATAGCAATTTCTTTTCCTTTTTTTGATGTCGTTGTATGGAGCTCATCCAGTTACATAGGGAGATGGGGATTTTACTTTTGTCAAAACGATTTTGATTTTGAACTGAACATGATCTATCTTGTAAGTCTATCTAGCTTCTACAGTCATAGCACAGAATGTTCTTTCTTCTCATTCTAATCACTATATCTGTGAGAAAAAAGCTTTTGAAGAACTTTGTGTCATTGTTGCAGGAAATTTGTTTTCTGTTTTCATTGAATTTTATAGGTAATATTCATTTGTTACTAAAATATTTGGGATAATAGTAAAACATGAACACAGCCACAGACAGCTACACAGACATCCATACACTGACATCCATGGATGTCTGTGTAGCTGTCTGTAAGTGTCTGTGGGTATCTTCATGTTTTACTATTACCCAAATATTTGCCTAGGTAACAACTTTTAGTTAGTAATCAAATGCTGTTATTGACAAATACTATGCAAGAATTATTCATTTCGATAAGGGTTTTTAAAGTTTACTCTTTGATCAATATGTTTTGCTTGTTGGGTCATTTTCCAACTGTTTAATTATGATGATAAAGTCACATTTCCTTTATGTTTTTTTAATCCCATAAACTTCAGGTAATTTCATTATTACCTGTTAAGTAAATAAGTGACGTTTTTCGTCGAATTTGCAATGTGTGGAATAATCCTTCCAAATATATTTGATAATATTTTCACACTCAAATGAAAAGGAGAATCATGAAGCGAATCGTTGCATCGAGCTCAAATATACATTCGTCTAACTTGAACCTAGTAGTAGGAAAATACATGTGAATTTCATCTAGATGCAACCAGATGAAATTTAGTTTTGATTGAGTTCAACTGGCTGTTGCTGGTTAATCGTCCGATGCATCGGATGTTCATCTGGAACACAGTCTCAATCAGCGTGCAATATAAATGAATTATGTAGCTTTTGATCTAACTACTCTAACCTGCAAGCGGGCATTGCACGTACTTCTGCAGCTAAATTTTTTCTTTTACTTAGTTTTACTTGAGTAAGAACAACTTCTTATCTCCTTAGGGACTTTTCAAGAGATTCTTCACTAGAGAGAGAGGGAGAGAGTAACCAACACACAGTAAAAAAAGCAGATATCTGCATTTTTCAAAGAGCCACATTATTTTTTTTAAAATCTGGTGAGCTTTGTGCTAATTCGGCGTATTACTTTCTTTCCATTTAGTTTGCTTTATTTATTCAATATGGCGGAAGCCGCAGTATATGCTACTGATGCTGACCAATTACGCATCGTAATAATTGCTCAACCAAAAGAACTTTACCAATGCCGATATCGCAGTGATTTTAACGAAGAAAAAAGTCGTTCAGCAAGATATATTCGTAGCATAGAGAAAAATAGTGAATATCCAACTATAAAAGTATAGAATTTCTTTACTATTTCTTATGAACAGTTCATTCATTATTTATTCATTTTAGATTCCAACTGAATATTGTAGCAGTCAATATCTTATTCGAGTATCATTAACAACCGTACCAGATGAAACCGTTCCAGTTCGATGTGTTCATCCGTATTCACTTGAAGCACCAAAATCAGACACAGATGTGCGTCGAGATGAGAGAACAAATTCATTGTATTTTCCAATCACACAACATGATATACAAAGTAACGGAGTTAAATGGTAAATGAAATATATATTTTAGTTTTTGTTCATATCTCATTTTTTTCCTTTTCTTCTAGTTTTTGTCACTTGATGTTAATTAAATCCAAACAAGACCAACTGAGTTTATGTGGTCCAATTAGTTTGTTTGATCATGGTAAGTTTTTACATTTTAAAGAATACATTATCAGTATTAATTGATCAACAGTATTATTTTCCTTTAGATGGATATGATATTCCACGTGTTGAGAATCAAAAAGACAATCCAAAAAATTTAATACAAGTCTATAAGTTGTACAAATCACAACTAGTTTTTACTGTCGTTGAACTAAAACCTGATGGATTATGGGCAATTCTAAATTCAACAACGGCATATTCACAGACAATGATTGAAATAAAAAGGAAAGAACAATGTATGTACCTATTTTTACTTTGAAATAAATCAAGATGTTTGTGTTTTATATTGTAGCTGTTGATAAGAATGCGTGTCAAATTCGTAAATATGCGCCAAAATATGGTGAATGTATTGGAGGAGATGATGTAATTTTAATTTTGAATACTAAAATTGATAAAAAATCTCGTAAGTATTCTATGAGGTTGTTCAACGAACTATAAGTTGCAAATTTATTTTAGCATTAAGTATTCGTTTTGAACAACATGAAAATGATAAATTGATTTGGGCGACATCTATTAATGAATTTGAGGCTACTGATAAAATAATTACATTTAAATCACCACCGTACATATCTCAACAGACAAATAAGTTAATTGCTGTTGATATTGTATTAATTCAAGATGGTGCTAAAATTGATCGAAAACAATATTTTTATCAATCAAGAAATACAGGTTAGTTTCTAACGTGCTAAAGGCTAATTGTTGATTTAGACAATTTTATTTTCTATTTTAGATTACACAAATTTATGTTCGAATTGTCGTCAACCATCAAATATTTCTTTAACGTCAACATCATCATCTTCAGAGGATAAACCACCATCAGCTAAGCGATTTTTATATGATAAGAGTGATCAAGTGCGTTAGTCGTTTTTCGCTGCAATGCTTCCACATTTAAGTTACTCTTTTCAACATTTTAAATATATTTAGGTAGCTACGAACTGTATTGATAGTAGTAAGTCTCCATTTGTAGTAAGTCTATCATCGCCATTGTACATTATTTTTCTTTCTCTCTTACCAGCAATAAAGGACTTTGTAGCAAAATTAGTAAATTGTATGGCTGATTTATTAACAAATAACGATACTCAACCATTAATTAATCAAACAAATAAATTAATTAATAAACGAAAAGACAATCTATTACATCGAACGATTGAAAATGGGCACACATTATTGGCTCTACAACTATCGAAAGCGGTTGCTAAACTACCCAATAATATAATTGAAAGAAAAAATAATAATGGAGAAACAGCAATTCTATTAGCGGCAAAATTAAATAACATAGATGTATTAGAAACACTATTATTAATGGATCTTAAATTTATTTATGCTTTAGATAATGAAAATAATAATATTTTTCATTTATTAACATCACAACAAAATTCAAATAAGACAATTGAATTTATTCTGAACTTTTTAAATAATAAATCGATTAATATCAAAGAAAAATTTGATAAACGAAACAAATTCAATGTAACCCCATTACAATTATCTGCTCAAAATAGAAATTTTGAAGGTACAAAAATGCTAATCGAAATTGGACATTTTAACACGGATGTAATTGATGAAAAATTGGTACTAGCAATTAGAAATAATGATTTATCGATGGTTGAATATTTTATCAATGATCTAAAATTGACTGATCAATCAAAATTAAACATGCCATTACATAAACTTGATAAAACTAACTGTTTGTGATTTTATTAATGAAAAATAGCCATTCTATTCATTAACGTCTATAGACAATAGAAATAGTGCTGATGAAACCTGTTAACTATTTTTCATAGAGGATCTGACTCAAAAGAATCAGTTAAACTATTATTTTTTCGATAATATTTATCTATTCATTCATAAACAAGATTTTTATTGTTTTTTTTCTCCTTTTCGCTCATATGAGTGTTTACAATTTATATAAAAAATAAAATAAAATTTGTTATCTAGTCTTAGTTCAATATACTTTTTTGATTATCCGAACTATATTCTTAATATAAAGCTATGTTAGTAAGACATGCTCCTACCACTAGTGCACGAGAACATATATTTAACTTTTTCGAAAAAAATCAGTATCGTTCCATGCACGAAAGAAAACACATGCGAATTGTTGCATCTAGATCAAATATACATTCGTCTAACTTGAACCTAGTAGCAGGAAAATACATGTGAATTCCATCTAGATGCAACCAGATGAAATTTAGCTTTGATTGAGCTCAATTGAGTGTTGCTGATTAATCGTCCGATGCATCGGATGTTCATCTGGAACACAGTCTCAATCAGCGTGCAATATAAATGAATTATGTACCTTTTGATCTAACTACTCTAACCTGCAAGCGGGCATTGCACGTACTTCTGCAGCTAAATTTTTTCTTTTACTTAGTTTTACTTGCTATATATATAACGGATTATGCATAAGTTTTGCAATAAATATTGCAATTTCTCCCACTAATCTGGAGATTTCACTTTTTTTTATTTGAAAGAGCAAACTCTGAATTACACAACGTGTATCAAACAAATTTTCTCTCGCAAAACTTTATTGAGAAAAAAATTAAAAGACTAAAACATTACTAAACTGAAAATATTCTGGTAAAAAATGTCAAAATGTTCATTCTCTGTCTTCATCGAACTGGTTCTTTTCTTGTTTAACGATAAGTTTGAAGAAAGACTGGTTATTATTGCTTGAAATGCTCTTCGAACAGTGTGCAATAGTATTTCTTTTTATTTGGTTTTCGTGAAGAAATAATCGTTTGGCTGGTCACTGTTAGAAAATCAATTAGTTAGCATTAATTGCCAATTCTTGAATTAACAGATGAGTTTTTTTGCAATTTTTGAATTAAATCTTGATCTTCATTCAATTTTTAACAATCTTATGTAAAATAAAATCTAATCTCATTTACTTCCTCTTTTATGTGACGCCTCTGCTGAAGGCTCTAAACGTTAGATGGAAAATCTCGATTTTCAAAAAAGGTGACCTTTAGCAAGCGTTTCAGACAACCACTAAAAAGGAACTTGAAAATCGTCTAAGGAGGTTAGGTCGATAGAATTTTTCACGGACTATTTTTTCATGTACGCGTTTCCAGTAAAAAGTGATTATTTTTGACACCAGTGAAAAGATTTTCTTGATATGTTTTAGTAAAATTTTACCAGAACATTTTTAGTGATGATTAGTTTTTTCAATTTTTCTCAATAAAGTCTTGCGACAGAAAATTTTGTTTGATACACGTTATGTAGTTCAGACTTTGCTCTTTCAAACAAAAAAAAAAGCGAAATCTCCAAATTAGTGGGAACATGGAGAAATTACGATCAACATTTATTGCAAGACTTATGCATAACTAGCTATATATAACGGGTGCGCCATAAATAACTGCGCTGTTAGTAATTTAAATCTTTCTCCTCTTCCTTAGACTCAGTCGAACTGATTCTACTACCAAAAGATTCCCCGTTCAATTCTCTACAAAATGACATATAAACGACAAGCCAGAACTTTAAGACGTTGTTTCAGCTGAACAAAATGTGATGTACCTCGAAAACGAGAAAAATGTAATCGTTTTCTACTAAGTTTTTTTAGTTTGAAATCTATGCTAAAAGAGGGATACAAGCCGTATCCTAAGTTGCTTCTCTACACATTCAGATGTTCTCTATCTGACAGAGCAGAATTCATTGCGTCAGTCCGGTAAAAATGGCTAAATAATTACTTGTCGTAATAAATCAGCGAAATGTCAATGTGATGATCTCATTTTTTTCAAAACAAAATTATTTCATACTGTTTACATGTGAATTTAGTAGGAAAAAATGTTCTTTCCCAAATGACACCTGAGCGAGCTTAACTGGTTTACTTTTGTCCGAAATATGATCAATCTGCGAATAGCCCTAACACGTAATTCGAAAA